ATACGTTTATCTAAATACGTAAATAATCATCATAAAAAGTGTTTTATTCAGTATAAACACTTTACATTAGTGTACAATTTAATAAACTTTATTAATCAAAAAGATTTCCTTAAAACAAAAAAATTACAAGATAAAACAAAAATTGGCAAAAACTAATAAAAATTTGTTAATAAATTATACAAACTTGTTAATTTGAAAAAAATTGATTAGATTGATTATACATCTTTTTGTTGAATTCTTTTTGTTTAAAATTTTAAATACATTTATTAAAAAATTTCAGTTTCTACTTTTATCAAGTAATGATGTTTTTATAGAATTAAGTCTTACTCTATTAAATAAAAGTTGCTATTGAACTCGGTTGGAACTAATTTGTGCATGTATGTGCAATACTTTCTAACTGGTTACAACAATAAATGCCTTTTTTTTTTGTTTAAAGGCTATTAAATTTTAACAATTACCGTAAATGGCCGGATAAAAGATCCTCACAACATCAGATCCGCAAACTGCCCATTAAAAATGAAAAATACGCGTGCTCTTTAAAATTCTCCTCTCAACCATGTACTATACCCGGGATCTATTATAGGTTTTAAAATCGGTGGAATGTAAGAGACCTGGGTCTTTTATCCGGCAATTTACGGTAATTTTTGTCTTATTTCGAAAAGCAATAAACATATTGAGAGAATTTTAGCTAAAAGAAGTTATTGATAAAATTTTTTTCATTCGTAAATGATCGAAAAAAAAATTTTACTAGACCATATAGCAGCTTGACACCCAAGAAGAGGTACATTACCGTTGCCACTGCCTACAGTATTTCCCAAAAATAATATCCCCATTATTAAGACCCGAGTATTATTCATCACCCTACTGACTTGTTTCTTGAATAAGACCCGGGGTAAACTATATTTATTTACTACTTTTAATATGGTATATCACCAAATACCCGGTTCTTTACACAGTACCCATGGGTACTATTCAATTTTAAAGATAGACCCTGGGTGCTGTAAGCAGTGGCAAATGGTATTATGAAAGAAAGGCAATAGCATTTGCATTTATGCTTCCATAATTCCATGATCTCTATAGGGCAATTCAACAGAAAAACTCCAAAGCCCTTTTTAGAATGTCTCGTCCAACGTCAAAGCGTACACAAACTCCTATCGCTATAGTTAATTAACTTATAAAAAACGTGGTTATTTACCGTTAATTAACTTATAAAAAACGTGGTTATTTACCGTGGTTATTTACCGTTAATTAACTTATAAAAAACGTGGTTATTTACTTTAGTTCTGAATATTTTCCAAAACTCGTCCAAAGCAGTCTCATGATCAGTACCGTAAAATCTCGAAATAGCGGGCATGGGAAAATCGCGCCCCCCAAAAATAGCATATGTAGATTCGAAATAACGCCCATGCGCGTCCCAAAATAACGCGCACCCCATTATTATGTAATTTGAAAAAAGCCAAGTTCAAAATAGGGATCTTAAAGAGTCCGTTCGGTCTGACCCAGCTCCAGTTCTAAAAAGTCCGGGTTTAACTTAGCAGTTTAACATACATTATAGATAATTTTGAAAGCGAAATGCCAAAAGTATCCATGATTTACTTTTATTAAATTATATCTGGACTAGTTTCAGATTGCCCTAAAAAGTTTGGTCCCAGACCCAGTCCGAACAAGTCCTTTGTGGGCTATTTAACATCCTATTCAGAAAATCACCTTATAAATTCGAAATAACGCCCATGGGCGTACTCGAAATAGCGCGCAGATGCCCGCTATTTCGAGATTGGCCGATGACTAAGTCATAGCATCTATGACCTTTGATCATACACTTGACCCCCGTTAATATCAACCTCGTTAATATCAACCTCCCGTTAATATCCACCTCTTATTAAGACAAAATAGACTCAGGGTATATTAAAACTAACCCGATATTATCAACCCTCGCATATATCAACATAATTGTCCAATCCAAATGGGTTGATATTAACGGGGTCAAGTGTATAACGATAATCATGACTTTTTGGTCATAGGTTCATAAATCATATAAACCTTTTTTTATGATCAAATGACCTATGACAAATCATAAAGATCATATGAGTGCTGTCAAGGGAAAACTTACAATCGGGCTTTCAATTATATTTTGTACACAGTTTGTCCCCTAAGTGCCGTCTAGGGAAAATCTATCTATTATCTGGCTTTCAATTATATTTTGTGATGAATTGTTACAAATATAATTGAAAGCCCGATAAATTTTCCCTAGATGGCAATTAGTGGACAAACTTTATACAAAATATAGTTGAAAGCCCGATTGTAAGTTTTCTCTTGGCAGCACTCATATAGGTAGCCAACATTGCTCATGATGATGTCTAGTTTTAAAAGATCAAAGACAAAAAATGACGTAAGGATTACCATAATGAAGAGTAGAGTGCCCAGGGTACTGCGGTGGCAGAATCTGCGCAGAATTTGTACAGAATTCTGCGAACAGAATAAAAAATTATTGGTGAATATAGTCTATTGTAATTTAGAATTTTCTTTTTTTTTGTTTTTTTTAAAGTATTATTTATACGTCACTGCAGAATTTGCTAATTTAACGATAATTGCTGCAGAATTTTTCAGTTAGAGCAGCAGTTATCCCGGACACTCTAATAAAGAGAGTAAGCACTTATAACGATTTATAGGACAGGAATATTAACATCAATTAGTTGACTTATATTCGACACGTCTTTACAATAAGTCAATAAGAAGTCATCCAAAATATAAAATAACATACGACATTACGACATTGATGCATGGATGTCACAAATTCAAATTTTAATTTAATTATGGTTTCGCAACTAAATTAAAAAAAGATCTACATGCAGATTGTACAAATTTGATTATATGGTTATTTTTACATGGAACAAAATTCATTTGCCATGCATTAGATTTTTAGCTGTAGAAATTTATAAATCGTTGCGGTCCGCAAGCTCCGCAATCCAATTTCAGGTTCTAAATGCCTGCACCCATAGACACGTACGTACGTCTCTCTATATTTGAATGCAGAACAAGCCACTGCTGCAAATACGATATGTTAAAGGTAAAAGATTATTTTGTTACAAATGCACATATGGAATCTTACATATCTGATATCGATATGTATATCTCAAAACTAATTACTTGCTCAAAGTAGTATTCTTTCAAAGTGGTATTCCACAACAAAGATTCACTATTTTTAAAGGGAAACACATCGGAAATAAACTCCGTTTGTCTCTCATATGCACTGTAGGCAATAGAAAATTATTCGAACTCGTTACGTAACAGGATGCGAAACTAGATCTCTATCAGAATTTATGGATTTGGAAGACCTCTATTGGCGACAAGCGCGTCTAGAACCTATCTTCAGTAGGCTGTTTTCCATATTTAATCATATGTGCAGTTTCAAATTCGGAGTATACTTTACGAAATGCTATTTTCATACCCAGATTCATTCGAACCTTTTTGGTTAAAATCTAATCTAGATATAAGAAAACTTATAAATAATAATCATGAGAATAATAATAGCAATAATGAATCATAATGATAGTGATAATAATAATAATAGTAATAAGAATGATAGTAATAAGAATAATAATAGTAATAAGAATGATGGTGATAATAATAATAATAGTAAAAAGAATAAAAAAAAAAAACCTAAGTGCAAAAATATCTATAGGCACGTTCATAAATACTTATTATGAACATATTAAATATCATTCATTATGTTTATAATCACTATACCCTATAATTAACTGTATTACAATCGGATAAACTCAAAAAAGGGATCGAATTAATCCATTCGAAACCAAAGATGTGTATCAAAATGAAATTTGGTGTAATCTGTATCGGAAGTTTCTATATGATCAAAACGGGGGTCCATCAATTGTTGTTTATTTTGAACCCAGCATCATGAAATCTAATAAAACAATGTATTTAAGCAATCAAGAAAGATGCATGCAAATATGCACCTTTTATCGATTTTCAACAAAGAAAATCTTAATTCCCGAAATTAAAAGAATGATCCCGTCTTTAATTACCGGAGTTTCATGTAATAGTTTAATTTAATGCAACATGAAAGACTTTTAAAAACAATTGCTCCGGAATTTGTTTCCGGATACTGTTCGTATCGCAATGCGTCATTCGTACCATTCTCGAGGACGACCATGCATAGCATACACGTATGTGTATACGTATGTGGTGCAGTGTCATGTGCGTACAAATGACATAACCATAGCAAAGACTCTACCGATTCGTCGATCATGTTTTCGATAGGATTAACCTAAAAAGGGTGGTCACTTTATATTATTCAAAATACTTTTTCAAAAGTGGCACGTACGAACCATATTCTTAATCTTGTGAGTTTTTAGGAGAATTGTTTCCACAACATTAAACTAAACTCAATGGCTAGTAATAACCGACGAAAGTGGCGCGATACGTAACACGTAATAATTCTAAACCAATGAAAATAAAGATTTCACCGAGATTAAGCAACGTTGCTGGTCATAATTTGAAACAATAATTTCAACTCACAACGCTGGTATCACGTTATAATCCTGTATATGTATTAGAAAAGTCACACCAAAATACATATATTTCAACAACTAAAAAACAAGAAAAGTACTATTCGTTTATATGCCCGTGAATTTAATATGTATATATAAGGAATATAAAATTTTATCGTTTAAACCACACATTTTTTAACATATTTTTTACATTATATAATGCGCTGTTAATCTAGTGTTAATATAGTTAGATTTATACTGTGATATCTTTGTATTCAAATCGCGATTTTAGCATGATGTTACACGCGCCACTTTTACACACTAGCCACACAGATGATTACACATAGACCGAAACTCCGTGCGCATAAGCATCTGAAATTTTTTATAAATACAAGGCATTTATTCTCGTCGCTAGAAATCACCGTGGATAGAATTTCATAGTCCTTACTAAATAGAATATAGAGAGTAAAAATTTACAATTATTGATCAAAAATGGTTCATTACGAATTCACGGAAACAGTTAGTGATAATGGATCGGAACAGGAGCTTTCAATCGATTCTTCACCCAAAGAAGTTTACTGTGAAGATTGTGATAAAGCGAGATCGAATGGCGGCAATATTATTGAAAATCAAGAATCTTTGGATCACGTGAAATCATTAACAGAGACACATGTAAAATTACCATTCCCTCCGACAATCCTTCCTAAAGATTTAGTAAATGCCTTGCTGAATAGCAAGTCTCAATCGCCCAAAATGTTAAATGAATTTTTTATCTACAGGAAGGTTTTTGTTCAAGAGCTTCGGAAGCAAAAACAACGCCTCAAAATGACGCGAGCATCTAAGCTCGCATCGAGCTCGTGGCACGCAGAGTCTTCGAGAGTTAAAAATGAATATCGAAGACTCGCACGAGAAGTTGAAAAACTTTATATAGATGCTAGAAATGAAAGGTTACGATCTGAAAAAGCTGATGAACAAAATAAATCATTCGCAAATATCACAAATCCCACACCTACTAATTCTACCATTGCAGTTTCTGATGATTTCAGTAACGGTAACGGTAACGATAACGATAAAACAGGACCTACTTTACCAACCGAGGTAAAATCATGCGCATCATCAGAACAATCCGCAAACACTAACCCATATTTGGATGCTACCACATTTGTGCCATACGATTCAGTCAGCGACTCGTATGTACAGTATCAGGATAATGTATATATGCCAGGCCATGATGGTAGCATGCATCTTTTGGACTTTTCGCAATATTCGTATCAGACCGTCCCTATTGAATTTCCGACAAATTCATTGCAACAGAATATACAACCAAATTTTTATGTCATAACATCGTACATGACAAACGAAAATTTCATCGTTCCATATGTTAATTCGCATACCAATATTACCGATTTCACTTCAACATCTTTTCAATCGTTATCTGTTGAAGAACCTTGGGCGGATGGAAATCACAACTTCGAATACAACAATTATTTACTTTACAATCCTACACAATATTAAAAAAAATCGATGATAGTTTTTTTTTTTTTTTTTTTTGAAAATTTCGTGAATGTATCAAAATAATAATACGCCTTTTATCTTTTGATTAATTATGAATAAGCATTTAATAATTCAAAATTCGTTTTTTTTTTTACTTAAAAAAACCTAACCATGGTTTATTACTTATTTTACAAATTGATAACTTATGTGTGTCTAGTGCGTACGAGATATAAAGATATATACGAAATATATACTACGTATGATATATATGCTACGATATATACTACGATATACACTACAATGTACACTACGATATATAACACGATATATACGATATATACTATGATATATACTATGAAATAATATACAAACCCGATATATATATATATAAGAAAGGGGAGATTTTTTCGATAAGATTAAGAAAAAATAATAATTTATGAAAAGAGTTATGTTAAATACCAGAACAAAACCCAATAAAAATAAATAATAAGAATAAAATAATTATGCCACTTTTTTCTTAATGTTCAATAGACATATCAAAGATATAGCTACTTTATAATTATTACTATAAATAAATAAGGAAGTTGTTTTAACACTTATATTCACCACAAGTTTGAAAAAAAAGAACAAAAGTTTAGATATATGCATAGTGAAAGAAGTCATAAGATACTTATATATGTAACCAAATGAAATATATATATATATATATATTTAGAAATTAGTAAAGTATCTACTAAAAACTTATTACAAATAACTTATTCTATGTTCATTGTGTTCACATGTGGACAAAAAAATGATTGTTGTTCATTACAAAAAATTGATTGTACGTCATTATAAAAAAATGATTGTTCTTCATTATAATAGCCGGCATCGCCAAGAAAAAAACCGTAAGGTAAAGGTTCATCTAAAATATTATCATAGTATAATGAATAAGGTGGAAGCAAGTATGGTGGATTCGCAACACTTTTTATTTCGGTAGGAGATGGTGGTACAGGTTCTGTTGATATTGTTGGTTCCGTAGGCTTTATTGATTTTGTTATAGGTTCATGGTTAGGTTTCTTAGGTTTTTTCAATTTAGATTCATTAGGTTTAGCATTATCACCATATTTTTGATGATGCAAATTAGCAGCTTTAATAGCAAGCTCTTTATAATAATTTCTAACTTGTTCAGGTTCTTTTTTCCATAATTCAGCAATGTGTTTTGAAATTTCCGTCATAGGATAAGTTCTTCCAATAGCTTTTAATTCTTCAACATAAGCTTTTCTGTAAAAGAACCAACCATTTGCAGCCTTTGTTTTTCTTTGTCTAGGTTTTGTTGCGTTTAAAAAAATACTTTCATCAAATTTTGGAGGGAATGGTAATCTTTCTAAAGGCTCAACTTTATTCGGATTACGCATTCTTTTTTGTATTTCACGTAAGAGTGCACTATCTTTTTCATTAGGTGCAGAAGGATTTTCTTCAAGTATAAAAAACATTGATAATAAAAATAGATTGATGTATCTTGTTAAAAAATATACAGTGTATATTGAGTAATATCCAATAATTTTGGATAAGGGTTTAGTAAAGTAAAAAATGTAGGATATTTATTGAATTTTTTTTATAATATCTGCATGGATTCAATTTAGGAAGTTAAGACAATGTTATTACACAACATATTAGAATTTATTATAAATAAGGTAATTTATTCAGTGAACACTTCAAGAAAAGATCATCTAATCATAAGTTATACGCATAAAGGAACTTGTTTTCCGAAAATAAAAAAAATATTATTAATTCTTGAATGTATCACATAAAGCCTCTCTCTTAAGTTTTGCCAGGTGGCATATGGCAATTTAGCAATTAGTTTTTAGTAATTTTTCAGAAGTGTGTTATCATGTTGACATGCTTTGACATTTTAAAGAAAGAAAAAAAGCTGTTAATTGTGGTAATGCCAAAATGAAATATTTGTAGTCATGTACCCCGTAGGTTATATTGGAATGAAGCCTTTGTGATCGTATACACTTTAGGCTATATTGGACACGTGTTAATGTTCTTAGAATTTAGTAAAGTCTATGACCTCTTTTGGAACGTTCCTTTGTTTAAGTGCGTTATAAAAAGATTCTTATCATCTTAGTAATTCGTATTTCTCACGAGAGCAAATATTTGCCTTGGTTAGACGCGATTATAATTACCAAATTGAAAAAGCAAACATTTATTTATAAAATTGGTAGATTTTTCTATAATAAATTATAACAGGAAATATTTCTTTATTATTGTATTAAAAAGCTTGCAAGTTATTATATTAATACATGAAACTTATGTATTATTATATTGTGAACTATTATAATTATTTTTTATAGTCCTACGCTGATGGCGTTTTGATATCCATATATCATTTTCATTCGTCTGTGAAAGATCACATCTGCACAAGCACAACAGAGATGAGGCTATGCTACAGCAATTAAGAAGTTAGCCTAGTCTACAGTAGGTAAAAATTTAAACCTTTGCCTTATTCTGTAACTCGGAAATAAAGATCCGTAAACGCAAACCTGTATTTGTTAATTATGAAATTCTTATCATCAGACAAAAAATTTTTTTAACAATCAAAGAATTACAGAATTATCGTTATGTAAAAAATAAAGTGTATAGCTGCAATAAAATTCGGAGCACTATCCGGTTGATCAGTAAATCAGGATTTTTTTCTAATTTGGCAAAAATTATAATGCATACCAAATTTGTAAAAATTTGCACACATTTAAATAATTGCGCCTCTGGGTTACTATTTAGATAATCGGATAGTTGTATAACAAATAAATTTACAGTACATGCATGGATTGTTAAACACCAGTGTTTAACAATAATAAATTACATATCAGTTAATAAAATGTTATTCAATATCTTTTAATAGATGACATAATAAAATTCGTAATCTTCTCAAGGTAGAGTACATTAGTATATCTTGTGAGATGTTATTTGCAGGAAGCCAAATTTACTTTACTAACAACAATTAATCTCGTAAAGTTCTTTTATTTTGCCAAATGAGTAAATTCATTTTATGTCACTTACAGCTTATTTAGCAAACCAAAAGTTAATTCAATAACAAGTTCATTTTTCTGATAAGTTTAGTTCGTCAGCAAAGAAGACTTGTTCAAAGAGATTTGGTTCATCTTTGGCTTCGTGATACATAAATAATTTAATTTTGTAACACACTATAAATCTATCTCTTGCTCTACACATTTATTTGCTTTCATGTTTGACTTCTATTGACATAATAATTTAATACGTAGTCGGAGAAAATATTAGATTTTGCATCTATTATATGTCCTTTTTTGGAATTTTCCAAGATTTTGTATTTTTTGTAATTCAAATTCTTTCATGATATTTCAAATTCTTTCAAGATATAGTTTAGTAGTTGCATTAGGTTTAGTATTTAGGGTTATAGTTTAGATTTAGTAAAGGTTTTTGAGGGGGTGTAGAACATTTTCGCTTAGAACACTACATACCAATTACCTAATTACAGTAATTAGGTTTCGAGATAATGTATGCGTTTTAGTAAATAGTGAAATAAAATTTATCGCTGTTGGTAATTTGAAACTTTGATAAAGCGATATGTGAACTCTCCGCGGATCAGCTTATTCTTATTTAATGTCGCTATAAATATTGTCGTTATATCTGTTATATCTATATATTACATTTATTATCTTTAAGTAAGTAAGGTTAAGACCTACACAAACAAAATGTACATACGTACTGTACGTAGAAGTAATGCAATAAATCAATGCATAGGGTTGATATAACGCTCATAATTTTGTCCATATATGCAGACCACTACAAATCCCGTGCTTTTCATGCGTAGAGTGCACAGTTGTACATAAAATTTTTTTCCCTATGTAGAACATGTTCTACGTAGACTTTCATTGAGCGTGAACACGAATCCAGAAGGTGCTTTTTTGGAACCTTTTACCAGAATAATGGAAAGTTTGTGGCTTATTTCACAACAGCATTGTCGAACAAAATTCCGCTATTGTCTTTATATATTCAGCACAATCAGTAAACTTTACCCTATCATTGACATCCTAACAATCAGAATCGTAATCCAAACTATAGCGATACTGAAAAAAAAAATTTTTTTACGTATTTTTTTAAATTATTCAACTAAAAAAGAAACCTGGATTTCTAGAAACTTTTTATTTACTTTACACACACTTTTTCATTGACAAAAATAAAATAAATCAATAAAAATAGTGGCTTACTTAAACAATATCATGCTAAATTTATAATTCTATTATTCACCGATACTGTATATCATATAGCGGGATAAATAAATTGGATCTAAAAATACACATGAAAAAGATAACGATAAGGAATAATCTATACACATCATTATTCTCATTATTCTTTGATATAAATATATATATTTAATATTGTAATGTAATATCCCGGTAATTAGGTAATTACGGAATTTTTTTTGGTACGCATTCAAACGGATAAATTAACATTTTTTTTCTTTTTATGCATTCAGTCGGATAAATTACCGTTTTTTTTCTTTTTATGCATTCAATCGGATAAATTAATGTTTTTTTTTTTAAGCAAGCAAGTTTCTAAAATGAAGTTTCATTCTAATACTAATGTTGAACAAAAGGAATTTCTATTCTGTATCTTTTTTTCCATTATGCTGCCAAAATTAGAATATTATCAATTAAGCTTAAATAATATATGCTTGATTTGGTAATATAAATCTGTAAACAAAAATTTTAAAGTATGATACATAAATTGAGATTTTTAATTTTAATATATGTGTGTATGTATATTTTGTATATATATTTGTTTAGTATGTCTATTATTGTTAAACAATAAATGTCCATTCAATGTTTTGTCTAATTGAATATAAATTTTCAATAATCGCCAAAAATGAAATAGCATGTATGCTAAATAAACATGATTAACAAAATCAAGTGTTACATCTTTTTGATAAATTACAATTATTGAACTAGTTATGTTTATTAAATGTATTATTATTATTTTTTTTTTATTAATTCTTATTTGGCTTCATTTCCCCCTATCGTAGTCTTCTTCATTGTCAACATATCTACCCTGTTTTTCATCATCAACATATCTACCCTGTTTTTCATCATCAACATATCTATCTTGTTCATCATCAACATATCTATCCTGATTGTTGCGCATACTTGATTCAACAATTTGTCCATGACCATTATCCTCGTCTTCACTATCTCCAAAATGATCAACATTATCTGACTGAAATAGAGGTGTTTCTATTACCAACTCATCCCTAGTTTTTATAAAAAATATAAAAGTTAATAATAATTACAATGAAAAAAAAAGAATTTCAATGATAAAGAAACTAGTAACGAATAATACATTTCATTATTTGAACTCTCAACGGCAGCTTTCATTGTTTGACTAATGCTCTTTTTACGTTTCAATTTTCCGCGGTATAAAAAGGCTGCTAGGGAAACAACACCGCAAATAACAATTATGAGCGTAACGGTTCCACTATATTCATTAAATTTAATAAAATTAATATGTTTGTTATCGTTTAACTCAAAATTATGTACAAATTTATGTATTAAAAAATAAAGATATATACGCATTGTAATATCGATCCAAAATTTCATGAGGCACAATTTTAGTGCTTGGAGGTATAGGTGTGTTTGAAGTCGTAGTAGATTCAAAGTTAATCTAGAATGTATCGATAAAAGTTGTTAAGATACTAGAACGTAAAAATTGTTCAATTGTTAATATTCAATTAAAAACAACTTAGTGTAATGTTTCGCAAATTTGTAATAAAAATATCCTGATCCGTATGGAAACTTCGTTTCCACTAATACCCAACGGATCAAAATATGGGAAATGTGAAAGCCTCTAGCATTATTACAATAAAATTGTTTTCTTATTAAGTAAACATTCTTTAGGCCTCTAAGTAAAGTTGTAGAGTAGACTGGACAAGTCTAATGATAGTTAAAACATTGAAATTGAACCACTAGATCATAATATACGCGTAAAAAATGTTTTAAACATATATAAAAAATTTTTTTTAAAAAAAAATTTATATGTTTAAACCATTTTTATAGTTCAATTTTAATGTTTAACTATCTCTCAATTTACTCTACAACTTAACATAGAAACCCAAAGTATATTTACTTGATAAAAAAAATAATTTTTTAATGTAAACATACCCCGATCACTATATCAAAATCACGGGTATTTAGCAAAATACCCTGATCCGTATGTGTACAGGCGGAAACTTCGTTTTCGCTAATACCCAACGGATCAGGACCAATACTAGAGTTTTTCAACGTTGCACCAAGTTGTTTTTACTATTGACTAATTAAATAAATTATTACATTATAGGTGGTTCCAGATGGAAGCATTATTGTTTGTGGTTTCACTCCCATAAATCGATACATCATATCCATGCTTTCTACTGGTACGTCGTAAGGTGCCATATGACTGGCATTGTAGAGAACTACATATGTAAGATTTCGCTCTGATATCATATGCCCATAAACAGTATTGTTAAAGGACAAAGGTGTTGTAGTGGAATTCTAAATATAATTGTCAACATACCATAATTAGTTAACTATAGTGATTGTGAATAATGTTACCAAAATAATTATATGAATGAATTAAACCTGAAACCCTTTTGCTTCGTTCCATTCTAATTCTTTAATCATGGCTTCAGTACCTTCTAGGTTACAAATGAGATCTTGATCACCACTATTTAAACCAATAGAACATTAATAAACAATAGATTAAAAACTCATTAATTAAATATACATGCCTATACAATAAAACATTGATTTGTTTTAAAATAGATGGCAATAACTACAATATTACAAATAAATTTAATGTATTAAAGAAATTTAATGTATTATTACTGTTGAACAAATAAACTTTAATATATGCAAATAATTACATACCGTAACAGCAGGTGGACTCGGATCATTGGTAAAACCACGACTTACTGCCGGACTACACTCTACCCAATCCTCATTTTTGCGCTCAGCATGAATGGCCTTTACAACATCAGTTCGCTGATAAGTAATAAAAATATATTTGTCCAGATTAGGGTTTATTATCCTAATATATGCATAACGAACTATATTATTACCGCTAAATATTTATAAATAGTTGGGAGCTCATAAGGCCATCCAAGTCCACATGAAGGATACGAATCTTTATAATCTCTAATATCATATTGATTTACACATGTCACTTTATTTCCAACGCTAAAAAAACATTTAAATTTATTAATATGCACAAAAGAATTATAAATAATAATAAGTAATGATAAATACACTTCACGAGTACTAGCTAAAATCGTCATAAGAACCTCCTCACACAAGTCGTTATGAATAGTAAGACTCTTATTTTCAGCTGCCACGCAACTTGCAAGCTGACTCTCAGCAGATTTCTATACATTACAAGTTAAATTAGTTATAAAATAACAGATATCATTCTATATATTATTATTATTATACCTTGTTGTCTTCACCACGTATTACATTATGTTTTGTCGCATAGCTATAATACGCCTTGTACTATTATTTTCCCAATTTTTGTGAATTATATAATTAAGATAACGTAAATTGACTAAAGACAATACTATCATATAGTAAAACTCCTAAAATTATATATGCAATACTTTCAGGGGCGACCATATGTTAACACCATACCTGTGGAATAGGATCAATCCATCCGTTGCCAATTGCTATGCCTTTGAGATTGTACTTTATCATAAAAATATATATACATCAATATGAATAATGTGAAAGGATACTTAAAACTAAACGCTTTTAAGAAATATAATCACTTTCTTACATGTTTTACAAATGTGCTTCCTTCATTGTTTCGGTTCAAAATTCCAGTGGCTATGTAAGGTATAAAAGTTCCCGCAAAACTCTCTCCAGCAATATAAATCTTGATGATAGTAAATATTAAAAACGCCAAATTGTTATTATTATATTACGTTTATAAACAAAAGTAAACCAATTGACTTACATCATCATTGCTGAATTCTGGAAATATATCAAAAAATTTATCAAGAAAAATCAAAAATTCCCCGGGAACCTATTGTGATTATAATATATATAATATACAATAATATTTCATTGTTAAATATATATAATTTATACCATAAAATATAAATTGATCATTTTAGCAATAATAATATTCTAACCTGCGATACATTTCTTAAATAACCCGTGGAATTTACATAACTAAAACCAGTGCCAACCGGCTGATCAACTATATTGAAATAAATAAAATGATGTCAAGAAATGAAAATGATCAATAAATTAAACAAATGAAATGAAATCAAAGAAATAAAGTTAAAGAGGAATGAAATCTAGAATTACCATAAAGCACATTAGCAAATTCGATCCATGAACCATCAATAATTCTTAATGATTGATCACTATTCATTCTCCATGGGCCATTTTCGAGAAATAAACCGTCCATGCTTTAAATTTAACTGTAATTTAATAATTATAAAGAACTTGATAACTAATCAATCTAACAAAAAAAAATCAATGACTCACCTTGAACTAAATAATTAAGTGCCAGACTAAGAATAAATGCTAGTATACTAATGAGGAATGCTATAATTCGACTCACCACCCAGGACCTTTAAGGCAATGAGTAATTAGAAACCTCAATAATTATTGTATATTATTTAATAATCTAGCATATAATTATTGTATTTGTGTTTAATCATCTAGCATATACTTACCACCATTAAGCCATATGATCTAAATCAAAAAAAAACAACGGAGAATGAAATAATTTAGTATATATGCGTGATATATGCGTGATATATGCGTGACCTAATTAAAAAAAAACACTTACTAGTCTCGGTTTATCGCTAATGTGACGATTATGCACTAGCCAGAAGAATATATTAGAATTGGTGCTTTCCTCTACTGTAATATGCCTGTGCAATTTAATTATTTACGTTAATCAGCATCCAAAGTTCTTTCTAACACATAAAAAAAAAGCAGCTTACCCGGCGTGCGATTTGACATTTGCATTGTCAGGAAGACCAGGTAAAGAGTATACAAAATAATCTGCAGCTATAAGACGAAAAACAATATTTGTTCGGAGTGTACTTCAAAAGAAGTAAACGATTGATAGATTAAAAAGGTACAAACCGCCAGCTGCGCTCGCGGTTTTAATGGAAGCGAAAGCAAGCCCTAATGCTAAGATTAGGGATGTTAAAATATATTTCATATTTATTCACAAAACTAATTCTAAGAATTCTGACTAGTGTTCGAATGAAACATTATCTAAAAGACCCTGACTAATTTATTATTTATCTCCCAATTTGTTCTTCAAAGACAAAGTTGACAACGTTACACAGCGTACGAGTCGATTTTTCTACCGATTTTTTTTTTTAATTTTCCTTGCATGACTTGTTATTCTAACAAGTTTATGATTTTAAGAACGCATTAAATTGGTCGATTGCCACGTGGACAATTTTTAGAAGGTTCAAAAGCCTTAATCAAAAAAAGAATAAGCCAAATGGCTGTGCTAAAAAAATAATCACCTGAGAACACTTGATATTATTGAAGCTTACTTTTTAAGTATTAGCAAAAGGCTAAAAAATTAAGAAATCGAATAAAATCTCACGTGGAATTGTGACGCAGTTCGTTATTACATAAACTTATGATCTTCAATATCCTGTTGCTCACAAGCCCTCTGAAAAAATGCATTGACGCTGAGAATTCTAATATCTTTCAATGACTACAAGCCCCTTTTATATTAACAATATCAGGTTATATCAAGAAATCTAAAAATTTATTAAGGTTAAGGTTTCATTGGTATATACGTAATTATTGTTTTTTTTAAATACTATCGTGGATTTTCTCTCCTATCTCGAATATCATTTCTTTGGATGGGTAGTAATTAGGAATAAAAAAAAAACTCTTATGTTGAGGTTTACAAATTTTACAATTTTAAACAGGAATACGTAGATCAGAGTCATTTCCTTTTATTAATAACTAGCGTAAAAAAGTAAAAAAAGTAAAAAAAAGCACTTCATTAGGAACGAGTATACTATGAATTTATGTATATTGGTTCTGTTACATGTGACTTGATACGTATAAATTAATGTTGCTCATCCATTAATGGAAGAAAATTGATAAAAATTTTATTACGCTTTTTTTTTCCGTTTTTTTTTTTTTTTTTTTTTATTTATTTAAAAAAAGACCTCATCTATTTCAATGACATCGGATTTCTTGCTTAAGGGCTTTCCCGTGATCTTACCTTGCTTCTTCAGAATGGGGATGACTATAATGTTCACATTCAAGTTGGTGAAGAATCTGATGTAAAATCATTTAAAGTACATTCGGCAATTTTACGCGTTCGATGTCCATATTTTCGTGCGGCTTTATCAAATAATTGGGCTAAAAAGGAAGAAAATCCTTTAGTTTTTAAAAAATCTAACATATCACCATCAGTATTTGATTTGATTCTCAAGTAAGTTGATTCAATTTATTTGTTAAAAGTATCATTGTATTATCATTATATTTAACAATAAACATTTTGAATTCCCTACAGATATATTTACACAGGAATAATCATTGCGAATCCCAATGATCCCAATGTAAACGTGCTTAGTCTTTTAGTCGCTGCAGATGAATTAATGCTAGGAGAATATGTCACACTGATACAAGACTATCTCCTTACAAAAGAAACGGCTTGGTTACAAAAGAATATTGTTCATATATTAAATGCAATTTTTAATCAAGAATCTTGTTCAAGACTTCAAGAATTTTGTATTAATGAAACATGCGCAGATCCAAATCTTGTATTTGGTTCAGACGCTCTCCCATATTTAGATGAAGATATTATCATTTATCTTTTAAAAAGAGGGGATCTTTGGATGCAAGAAATCGAAGTATATAATAACCTTATTAAGTGGGGAATGGCTCAAACTCCAAAATTTGAAGATCGACAAATATACAGTGCGAAACCAACACCTTTTTATTGAAAACGGCCAAATTTTAAAATTACATAATCAATTTTGATTGGCTAATTTTCATATAATCAATTGTAATTGGTTAAAAATTATATATATATTATTTTTTTTTTTATATTAACAGCCTTTTTTTTTTTTTTTTGAATCTTAAGGTGAGGCCATGCCTCTAACTTTATTAAAACTCAATTGAATCTCTTTACAAGCAAATTTACAAGAAAGAAATTACATATGACTTTTATATCCTAAGGATATCAAGAATAGAGACTCAGACAAAATTTTCTGCAGCCTAAACCTATCAGGGTGGCCAAGGCTTACCTAGATTTCAGAGTTTAGAATTAAATAGAGAGGGTTAATTTGAAATTTAATCCATTTTGGATACCAAGTTTCTAATTTAATACTAGCAATAGAAAGAGATGAAGATTGAAGTTGGGATAGAATTGAAGTTATCAAAGTTGATGAAGTAAAAGGGGTAATAGAGGTTTGTGATCTAGAAATACAATAAGGTAACTAAATGTTGGTATAAATTTGTTGATTAAGATATAATAGAAATTTAACAGTTAGTGAAGTTGCAGTTTTGTTAGATAAAGTAATGTCCTTAAGTAATAAAATAATATCAAGAGGAATTAAATCAGATAATGTAGATATAAGAGATGATATATGCTGTTGATTATGTATTTGCATACTGTAAAGATTTATAATTTGAGTATGTAAATTGAAGGTAGCTTCGTTGGATATATCTAAAGTTGATGAATTAAGTATATGTTGCAAAGAACTTTTAATTAGATTTTGTAATAGTTGAATAGTTGGACACATGATCCAATGGAGAGCAGTACTATTTTGATTGCATAAATGACAAGTAGGTGGATAAGAAGGGTTGCATTTATGTAAAATATGTGAAGCAAATAAGTCATCAAGTAGAATTTTAATTCTAAATGACTTTAGTATAGATGTTTGAAAGCTGTTTGAGTAGTTAGAAATCTTTTTGTTATTGTTGATATATAGCCAAGTTGCTTGCCAATTGATGTAAGGAGTTATGTATATCCATTGTTTAAATCAGTTTGAGATAATCATAAAGTATAGATATGTGTATAGCAGATAGTGCGAATGTTATACCAAATAGGTAGCTCCATAGGATAGTTATCAAGCTGAAGAGTATAATTAGAATTGCAGATATTATTAGTTTTGAATATTAAAAATGGTTTGTTAAGGTGGTTGTAAGCAAGTTGGTTTGCAAAATTGTTGAATTGGTCGTCTTGATGTGCAGTAACTTTGTGAAAAATAACTTGAAGATTGTATAAGTTGATAAAGTTGATTAGAGTATACTATAGTGAATGGTATGAAGTACGGACAAATGATAACTTAAGTGATGATAAGTTGGTATTATTAAATTTTGATATAACAGATTGTGAGTCTATATATATATAAACTATACAGTTCCTGGGTGCTGTAATTAGAGTAGACAGAATTGCTATAAGCTCCGTTTTGAAGGAACATGGCCAGAATTTAACTTGTGCTTAAAATATTATTTTGTTATATTTGGGCCCATCCAATCCCCATAGAGCATTGGGTTGATCCAAGTTCTAGTTTAGAACTATCTATATAAAAAGAAAGTTCTGTCAAGTTATAATTTTGGTTGGCGAAGATTTGAAGTAATTGGGTTAGTATACTAGATTTAAATAAAAGTAGTATTTATATAAGAGGAATAGATAAATTAGAAATAGGAATTTGTACTAAATGTTAAATAGCAATAGAATATATTAGATCTAAGAAGTTAGTATTAAGATTAACTGATTTATTAATTGGGTTAACTTTGCCAAAAAATTTTGTAGCAAGATTAATAGGGATGAGAATAGGGATTGAAATCATCTAAAATTTTTCTTAATCATTTAATTGTTTAATCGTTTAGCTGTTTAATTTGGCCGGCATTAAGATAATTCTGGCCCACAACCAACATAATTCTGCCTGGAATTATAGAACAAATTTTAAACGATTAAATGGTTCCAATCTCTAGATGAGAATAGTATAATTATTGGCAATAAGTTTGGAGTTTAAAGAACAGTTTTTATATAGAAAGTTTTGATTGGTGGTGTAGGATATAGATTTGTAAATTGAAGCTCAATAGAACAGGCTCAGTGTGTGATAAGAACAAGCCTAGTAGAAGTAAGTTGTCTTCATACTTTGCCTAAGACAATTTGATCTTGAAGTGTTGTAATAAGCCAAGGTTTAGAATGTTTTGCAAAATGTCCAGTAGTAAAGCTAAAATTGTTAATTTCAGGAAGTTGGAGATGATTATAGAGTGTTCGTTTATGAACATGGTCAGTAACAAGATCTTTAAGAATAGTAACCAAAGTGATTATTTGCCTTTAGAGACTTTGTGAATTCTTGGTAATATGTGTTTCCAGCTTAAAAAACATGAGTTGTCATATGAAATAAGCTGTTCTAAAGTAAGAATATGATGATGATGAAGTTGTTTTTTGAAAAC